GAAAGCGATAATTGGTTGCACTGGTTGTTGAAGAGCTGAACGATATTGCGAATGCGCTTATCGCCTATCAATAATTCGTTCAAAAATCTTCAGTGTGTGAGAGAGCAAGCGAATCGGCTGGTAGTTTTCATAGCCGGAGGGGCTGCCTTTCCTCTTCCAAACTGGAATAGTCGTGCTTTCATACCAATCAGCAGGTGTTTTCTTCGCGACAATCTGATTGAAGAACTGCGTTAACCAATGAGCAGAGTTCCAAGAGGTTAGAACCACCTGACCCCAAGATGACTTAAGGTTCTTTGTTACATGCCGACATTGCACATAAAGTTGATTCATAATACGAGTTGATTTACAGCACCGTAACCTACCAATTACTATATCACAACACATTCACTTATGAATTTTTATATTTCCTTTCATCAGAGAGCTTTTTCACATTCATTCACGATAAAAGGATGATAGGAATGTTACTGCTACTTTTTATTTGCTTATCACCCAGAATCCACAACTAGCATCCACAATTATTCCTTAGTTGCTCATGTGGGTACTATTCTCCACGTGCTCCACAATCAGCCCCATGATCGAAGCTCAAATCATCCCTTGTCTTAGTCCAATATCATTCCAATACTGGCTATGCTAGCACAATTCCTCCCTCGTTGCCGGAAGTTGAGTAAGAGAAGCTATGATAGTGGTACCAACATTTACATATAATCCAACGCTTATGACGCGCCCCCGCAATCATTCATGTTTCATTTCGCCACTCAACACGCATCCCACTTCAGCACTTTTCATTTCATTAATGTTCGTTTCATCTTTTATCAATTACCTTTTGTTATTGCGAAATCCTTCACGTACTGTACTTCCACGACGAGGTGCCATAATGCTATTTTACGATTTTCTACATGTTTTAAAATCCTCCCTCGCATTCAACCTTTTTTGAATCTTTATTACTGTCAACTTGGGGCTGTGTGTCTATTCTGACTGCCAGTAAGTACACAACGTTTCTGCGGATTTCTACATACAGAAACGTACGTTAGAATTCTCTTTGCACGGTCAAATTCAGGACACTTTGGGAAACAATAATCTTTATTCTTCCACGTTTCTTAGAAATAAATATTACCATTTTGACCGACAATAAGGAATTATATCTTTCCTGGTAATTACTTTCAGCTTCAAAAACTAAATAAGTAGTACTAAGATGAAATCGGACTGCTATCTTTTGCTGCAATAAATCAAATCAGGAAAGTAAAAAACACTTAGTAGCACAGCGAAGTATTACAATGGAAAACATAGAGTCCAAAAATTTCATTTCATTAACATAAACGATTTAATAAAATTGAGAGAAAAATCTTTCCAAACATTCAAAATGGAAATTGATAGCAGGTATACCAATAGATTATCATTTCGTTCAGCCTGTATTATGCAGCTGCTAACCAGCTCGAAAGTGTTTGTGGTGGTGCTTTGCCCTGAAGTATTGCAGGAAGAAATTTTTTCTACAAAAAATACAATGGTTTGAAGAGTCAGAAGTAAACATAATGTCATTTGATATTTCCACTCTCTCTCCCTTGACGACATCTAAATTTATGATGATTGTAGATAACTTCCACCCTTCGTAAGAATGAAGTTGGCTTTTCTGAGAGGATAGTGTCCTGAATTGTAATGTACAGAAGTGGTTCAGCAAACTCAAATAGTGTTACTATGTTTAACGTTAAGCTCTGTATGCTAAGTTAATGTTTATGGTATTTCTTAACATTTAAAAAGAAATCTTCAATGAAACTTTCCACAAACGAGAAAGAAACAAGTCAAAATCCAGACCTAACGTTAGACAAAATGCTTACCGAAACATCTGCTCGGCCATTCTTGGTAATAACGTTACCATCGGATTTAATCACAATAAGCATAGGAATTCCAGCAACTTCGTACTTATTTTTCAATTTCCTCAAAATAAAGAAATGATAATAAGAGAAAGAAAGGTTTGCTTTCTGTGAATCTTAGAACCAAGTTACATGAAGTGGGTATGCCAAACTAACAAATAAAGCTCCGAAGGTAGATAAAGGCGTGACATGGACTACAGCTTCTCACTTTCCAAAAATTGACAATTTTTTATCCAGTCTCTTATCACCAAGCATAGACGGGAACCTCTTCCTATCTAATACATTGTGGAATAGCTAGTTTTAAAACAAAAAACAAACTCGATTTCACTGGAACCGAACGGAACGTGATACCAGTCGCCATGTGATTCTTTTAGATAGTTATTCAAATCCTCCTCCGAATGATCCAGTGAGACAAATACTATTTCAAATTCATCGTCGTTTACTTCTTCATAAAATTCCTGAATATGTCAAAGAGGTAATTAAACCCGTACCTCGACATATAAAATTAAACTTGAAAATTCAATTGAGGAAGCAAATCGAAACTTTCGATTTGATTTCTCCAAGAATTGCTTAATTCACTCCTCATATAATAATTGCAGTTTTTATAACGTCTCAGGCTGATATGAAAGTAGCAGTGATTATTAAACTGCACTGTTTCATTTTAGAACGCTTCCTTAAATAAAAGTTATGAAATTATATTTCATTTTAGTGCAGTTTCATATGCAGAACGAATTCGATCGCATAGTTTTATCTCACCATTTATTTGATCTCCGAAACCACTTCTTCGAGTGTCCCATAGGGAAAGTGCCTTCGCAATTAATGGAATCCCAAAATGCTTCTCTCCAGGAATAAACAACTAATAAGCTCCA